GCAAATTGTATTGGTTAGTAGCAATGATCAACAGCCAAATAAATCTTCCTTGACAAACTTCTCTGATAAATCAATGTTCTGGCTCTGTGCTCAGGTGAGTGTAGCAGTGGCATCTGTGATGAGGCATCCTGCATCAACAGTGGTACCTGTACTGCGAGCAAAGCAGATTCATACATTTGCCTTTGTCCTCTTGGATTTAAAGGTCATCATTGCGAAGAAGGTGAGAAATGTTGGGCTGCTTATATTTCTTTGTACATATTATCTAGTGTTCAATGTGTTTTCCACATAGTGGCATCCAAGGAGGTCTTAAGTTATTACACTAACAGAAAAGAGTATTTTTTACTTCATCTTTTCAAAATCACATAGTGAACACCTCCCCCCCTCCTTTTACTTTTGGGGCTACATCCAGCCTCTATGTAATTTGTGATTCTCAAAACTTTATTTATTTAAACTAACTATAGTTGAGCATCTCGACTTAATTTGCAGGAGATAAAATAATGTACCATTCCACAGCTGCATGTTAACCCTAAAAAAATCCCCACTTTTCTCCTAAAACCAGTGTCAGTTTTATATCCTGAAATGTGCAGGACCCAGTATCAATTTTCTATTGAAATCACAGAGATTCAAATAGTCAAATACATATAGCATTATTTTCTGTGCTGCAGAACTTTTTATACTACCACCCATTGTGTGTATACTTGCTATTTTGAAAAACACAATGGTGAATTGCTGAAGAAATGGAGCACAAAGCTTTGTAATACAGGGACATTCCTGGGAAAGGACGGGATAAAGAACAGAAGCACTGTTGGCTAGGATAAAAAAAAAGTATTTTTAATATGGAAGATGAAATTTTTAGGCTGTTTTTCTTAAGGTTAGCTTTAAGTTTCCTACCAAGGGAACTGACACCGGTTGGAAGGAGCCAATCCCTTACCTTCGAGCCTCAAGTGACCTGCTTGTGTATTCTGGATTTTCAGCACTCACCTTGGCCATACCTCAGTTCAACGAGTCCTTAAGGTCATTTGCTAGCACACCCTGGCCCTTGGAACCACAGAATTACCTTTCCTTCATGGAGTTTGAGATGACTTTTCGTCCAGATTTAGAGACTGGTGTCCTTTTGTACAGCTACGACACAGACAGCAAGGACTTCCTCTCCATTAACATGGTGGCTGGTTATGTGGAGTTCAGGTTCGACTGTGGCTCAGGAACAGCTGTTATCAGGTAAGCAGCATTACTTGTGTGTCCTTTCCAACAGTGCCACAGTGCTGATCCAGGGGAGTGGACTGGAAAGAAAAATAGCCTATTCTGAGGTGTGGGAGCCCATCACTCCCTAGTGTCTACTTCTAAGGAAGCAAAGAAGCACCAGAACTGTGCTCAAGGGGGGAGGATTTTCTTCCTACATAAATCTATGTTTCCAAGCTTTGTTATCAGAGTTACCATTTCATGTCACCATCTTAGTGCAGATTTTACCTTAGTTTCTGTGCAATATTACAGAAATGCCCTTCTTGCCTCCATGACATTGTACCGTAGCTAATTAGGGAGTCTATAAATATCTTATACATATATTTTCTAACCACATGATTGCACAATATTGGCACTTTTGTAAGCATCCTTCTCCCCGGTCTCCAGTTTCAGCCAGTAAGTACCAGGCTGGAAGTGTCACAAGTAGATAAAACTCCAGGTCCCCCTTCTCCTCATAGTGCTGGTTTTGCGGGGAATCTGAAGCTAATATTCAATTTACATAACTTAAGCAGTCTAAAAGATAAATATATGGTTTAAACAAGTCACCCAGTCTCCCAGACAAAGACAAGCTTTCTGGGAATGATTCATTGCATCTTAAAATTAATGTCTAGGATAGGAGTAATGCAATGCCTAGAAAAGGGCTGCTTTCCCTCTGTGTAACTGAGTGCCCTGTCTCTGGGCAGCCCTTCCCTGGTCTTTTCTGAAAAGGCAATGGGCCAAATAGAGGCACTTAGTACCTTGGATGTGGTCCAAGAGGCTGACTATTTGACCAGACTGACCTAATATTTAGAAATAATCTACATAAAACTTACACAAAATGTGTACAATGCCTACAAGTCTAGCATACCATATGTTTTCTCTGGATGGACATCAGGGATTTTGGCTGTACCGCAATTAGGGGAAATGTGCTGATCTGCCACTGATTGAGGACTGAAGTGAACAAACCCTTTCAGACGACAGAGTGAAAGAAGAAATTTACAAGGGAGTAAATGCAAAATGATTCACAAGCCTATCAGTGCACAGCTGTCGCAGTACAATTAGTGTTGTCAGACAAAGATCCTGGTGTCACCACAGACAGTTCTGTGAAAGCAACAGCTAACTGCATGGAGAGAAATACAGAAATCTTAAGTACAATACAGATAATTATTAGGAATGAAGTAAGAAGCAATGCCATTGCAAAAATCTACAACATCGCCCATCCTGAAAACTTGCTGCCATTCTGGTCACTTCATTTCAGATGAAATGAGCAAATTTAAAAATAAGAGCAGTCTTGATACCCAGGGGAGGGAAAGAAACGGCTTCAGCAATACAGCAGGACCGTTCAACCTGGAAAAGAAAGAGTTTGGTGGAAGTATGATAAAGATTTTTGAATTGTGAATGACATGAAGATAAATAAGGAATTCCATATTTTTTCAATATGAAGAATTAGAAGGAAGAATTAGAAGGACTCCAGTGAAACTGCAAACCAAAATATATTAAACAAATAATAAGACCTTTTTTTTCTATATAGTACATGAATAATTTGTGGAAACAAATTGTCACAGCATGTTACACATGCCAGAACTATAAATAGGTTGGGGGAAAAAAAAAAAAGAAAAATCTGAAGAAAGCTCCATTGAGGGAGATCAAACACAATTGTACGGATGCAGCCTCTGACTCAGGAAATTGCTAAATGACAAGTTGCCAGAATCTGGAAGGATATATCAAGGGAAGAATCACTCCGTACTTGCCCTGTTGTTTTCTCTTGTTGGAAAGCAGCAGAAATAGCTAATGTCGAAGACCTTTGCTGCAACCCAAAATGGCCCTTTCTTACAACAGACTTCAATATTTTTCTGATTACAGCTGTCTAATTCCTATTACTGGCAACCAAAAGACATTAAAGTAGACATTATTTTTCCATCCCCAAGAATACTGTAGTGCTTCAAAATACCTTGAACTAAAGTTTAACCAGGAGGTAGGCTTGTAAAATGTGGCAAGAGCCACAAGCACGTGGCTAGGAGTAGAAACTGTCCCTTTCCATTGGAAATCAGAAGAGGATGCAGGATGGCAGCTAGTACCTGGGTCACGTACTTTGGGGTGAAAGGGTGTTGTGAGATAATTGCCTAATGGAGCAGTTCACAAGACCAGCAGGCTACCTTGAAAGTTGTCTGGATGTCCTGTTCAGCTCCTTTTTCTAGATAACATGTGCAATTCACACCCCATCATCAACTCTGTTAGTGGTTAAATAAGGTAAATAGATTCTCTGGTTTTTGTGCCTGCTTAGTCAATATGCACTTGAACTTCATCATGTCCTTCGTGCCTAACCTTTGTCCTAAGTGGGAATAAAACTCTGCTCGTACTGACTATTGTTTCCATAGGACCAGGCTGCTAAATATTATAATATAATCAGAACACACTTATAATGTCTTTATAATTGAGGATGAGGCAAGCTCATTTATGTATGGCAGCAGCAGCAGCAGGAAATCTGATGTTGGTGAAACTTCGTTCTTGTCTGAAGTGTCCTGGAATAGAAGCAGCATGGCGGGATGGAAGCAGCATAGTGTGCACAGGGGATGCAGGAAGGAGCCAGAATGCCAAGCACATGAAGAGATTCAGAAACTAAGCTATTTACCAGGAGGTCTCAGAGGATAATTTGTTGTCCCCTGGTATTTTTCTTGGCCTGCCATTCACAGGATCATGGTCTTCATCACTTGGTGTGTTTTTCATAGAATCACAGAATCACAGAATAGTTAGGGTTGGAAGGGACCTTTAAGATCATCCAGTTCCAACCCCCCTGCCATGGGCAGAGGCACCTCACACTAAACCATCCAGCCTCACCTTGAACACCGCCAGGGTTGGAGCATTCACAACTTCCTTGGGCAACCCATTCCAGTGCCTCACCACCCTCACTGTGAAGAACTTCTTCCTTATATCTAACCTGAACTTCCACTGTTTAAGTGTGAACCCATTTCCCCTTGTCCTACCACTAGAGTCCTTAATGAAGAGTCCCTCCCCAACATCCTTGTAGGCCCCCTTCAGATACTGGAAGGCTGCTATGACGTCTTCACACAGCTTCCCTTCTCCAGGCTAAACAGTTCCAACTTTCTCAGCTTGTCTTCATACAGGAG